CCTGACTCACTCCTCACTTGGAGAATGCTGCTCACCTTTAAGAAGAGAGCAGAGGTGCTATGTGGTGCCTCCTTTTTTTAACCGTGTGAATCAGAACAATCAGTCATGAAAGGGAAGTTAGTGGCAACAACAGCAGTATGCTTGTGGTCACATATGACTACAAGCAGGTGATACTGAGATGAAGCAGTTGTCCTATCCACTTGATAAAACAGTGCAATGGTGAATGGTGTTCTACAAATGCAGGAGAAAGTTTTTGCCCATGAAAACCACAATCTTGAACCATGAAGCATAAATAACATTCAGGCATTTATGCTGCGTGTTCATCTGCAGTAACTTTGGTCTGCCGTCTTCTTTCATATTTTCTTTTCATCATTTGAGTCATTGCAATGTTTCAGACATGTCTGAGTCATTACACAGACCTCAGGCATGTCTGAATTCTCAGATCAATCCTTTTTCTTTTTTTTTTTTTTTGGGCCCTGCAGAAGTCATAAAGGACTATAGAACCTATGGAGGTTTTCAACTCCGATCTCCTCATGTTTTACCAAAAAGATCTGTTCTCACCATTGTACCGTTGTATTATTGGAGAGTGGCACAATTTGTTTTACAGTAATCATAACATGGGGTCCCTGGGGGGGATCAGATTGCATCAGGGCACCGCAATGGTTTCCAAAGCAAAACAAATGCCTGATAAAATTAAAAAAGTGTTTCTTACTAACAATGTAAACACAAAAATGTTTATGCACAAACACACTTTTGGGCAGTGAACTGACTAAATGACATGTTGATTAAGAAGTTTGAGGTACATTTTAATTTTCTGAAAAATGAAGGAAAGGGGAAATGAGTTCAAGAGTTCTTCAGATATAGTGTTTTTCACTTGTACAAATACAACAGACATCAACCTTTCCAACCTGCATATACATTAAGGGAAAGATTCCGTTAGACTAGATACATGTGAGTAACAGGGTTTTAAAACTAATACACAATTTATAAATCACCTGTTTTTACACCCGTTTGGTCCTGTTTTATTTGTGTGTGTGTTTTTTTTTTTTTTAAGTTGTCAACGTTTAAGAGAGTTGAGAAAAAACAGATCCTATTGGTGGCAGTGATACAAATGTTGGCTGTTTCAGAAAAAGAATTGTTTAGACAAATTGTTAAAAGTCAAGATACAATTATCTGTCAAAATCCCAAATTGTGGAATTTAAGGTGTATTCGTACCGTACAGTTTTGAACAAATACAAACGTGCAGAACGAATTTTCGGTTACGTTGTATTTTCCGCAACGGAATCACTGCTCACGGTTCAGTTAGCGGCTAGCAGCTTAGCTGAGCCTCTTGTAGTAATTAGAAGCGTTCTCTAACAGATCTTCTGTTTGGGAATCAGACTTTTAGCAGACTTTTTAATTATTTTATTGTAATTATAAATATTATTATTATTATTGGTTGAGAACCACTAAATTAGTTGTTAGTTGCAGAGGTATATTGGCAACGTGTATGTTTGTGTAGCATGTTAATAAATGACATTTAAAAAGTGGAGTCCCCTGGTGAAACAGAGACAAACAACCATTCACACTTCATACCATGTCCAACGAGAGTGGAAGAAAATAGCATTACCCTCTACTACCCTCTACTCCAAAACCCTGTTTTGGAGTAGAGGGTAATGCATAATGGGAGAACATTCTAACCCCGCACAGAAAGACCACCACTACAGTCGTCTTTCTGTAAGGTAGGCCTGCTTAACCCAAATATTCATTGTATGTTATTATGATAATTATATTATATTAGTATTTTATGTTATTAATATATCTGTTTTGTCTCAGTGCTGTAAACCCTGTCACCCTGTCCTTTTTCTCCTGACGAATACTTTTTCTGCATTAGCAGAACTGTGGGAGTAAAGCTGTCACATTCAGGTCGGGGTGGGACAGAACTGGGGTCTCACACTAACTAGATGTCAGTTTAATGTAATTAGACCCCCTGCTGTTAGTTTTTTGCCCATCAGTGAGCTCACTTGAGTATGAGACCCCTGCTTAAGAAGGTCGGATGTGTGGGTCTGTTGTTCTCAGGCTGTTCACAGCTGTTTTTAAAGCACATTTACCTTCAATTCTGAAACACATCAACAATTAATAGTTTGACTGAAATGGTATGCTCACACACAGGCTGACGACGTACAGGTTGACGTGGGGACTGTTGGAGTTGAGGAGGGAATGAGAATGTGTTGTGAGTTCCCGCTTCTGTTTTTTTTTTTTTTAAACAAACATTTTGACTCACACTAACCTCATAGACCACAGGAAGCCATGTTCCAACAGTCGGGTTACTCTTCGGGTAAAAAAAAATGTCCCCAGATTTTTAAAGCGGTAGTAACAGAGAAGAGTACCACAGTCCTGTGACGCAGTCTGACCGACATTATAAGATTCAAAAAGTGTAAATCCTGTTCTATGGACTTGCTTAAGTTTTTTGTTGTCTGTAAACGTATTCACGACTCATTGTTAGTGTTCAAGTGGAAGACATTGTGGTATATCACAGTGCAATACATTTTCTTCCTCAGTCACTTTGTAATACCCACATTCTGACTGTGTAAAGCATGTGTCAAACTCAAGGCCGGTGGGCCAAATGCAGCCCACCAAGTGATTTTGTGTGGCCCACAGGACCTTAAGTCTTTAATTGCCTTATGATAAAGTCCATGCTGCTGAGTTTCTTTATGTATGCCTACTGAGGAGCGAAAAATAGTGGGAAACAGTAAAAACTCAGATTTCTGAGATGCTAACAAGGAGACATTAGTTATAGCAGCTGAGACACGAAGTATGAGGAATATTGAACTTAATTAAGATTTTTATTTATTTAGTTCATATTTATTTTTTGTTTGTATTGTTTATCAAACCGCAGTTAGTTGTTAAACCATGTTTATTTATATGTATTATTTATTTTGTAACTTGTGTATATGTTTCACAAATATTTTTCTTTTGAGACTAGTAATTGTCCATTAGATTTTCACCACACCCATTTTGTTGACAGCCAATCGTAGGACAGTCTGTAGTGATATCACACTAGCCTGGATATTGTAATTCATGGAAATGAAGCTGCGGGTGTATATACAGCACTTGATTGGTAAGTTCAATGGATGTTTTAGAATGCATCATATACAGTAAGCTACCATCAATAGAAGTTATTTATATTCATTCATACTGCCTGACTATAGTGCTATTTTTTGTTTCTAATGATACACTGACACTGAAAATTGATCATTTGCCTAATACTGATCAAAAGGGCTAAAGAATGGACAGACTGGTTGACCCTCACAGTTTCACCATCCAAAAAACTGAAAACTTGGTCAGTCCAAGGCCATCTTTTCAGACCTGAAAAAGCTAAACCATATCAGGTACAAATGTGGTAACAGATGTTTTTTACTATATACCTTTTAAAATGATAACATCTGTCTCAGAACCTTTTGATTTACCCTTGTACCCACTATGCACCTTTAGACTCACTGGTCCTACTTCATGTTGGTTTGTGTATAGCCTCAGCATGCGGGACGTAGTCTGTCTGACCTGTGTAGGTATTGTGCCGTAGATGATTTTCTCACCTCCTGCTGATTTCCATTAGTTTATGCCTGTGGGATAACAGCTGACCTGATTATCTGTTATTTTTGGCTGGTAGTTTGATACCTGCTGTTCTGATATTGTTTCTCTAAGAATGATTTAATTTCTGGCGTCAGAAAGTCCAGTTTAATTGTAGGCTCTGGTAGTGTGCGTCAAAGTTGGTGTCCCATAAATAAGTTCAATCAGTTTATTTTTGCTTTCTCCTGTCATCCAACCAAATCCTGACTAGTTCCCCTTTGACAACGCTACACAATATATAAAGAAGCATTAACTTTTAGAATATATTTTCTTACTTTTATTCACTATTTAATATTTTTTAACATTTGTTTTTGCATAAGAAAATTATTAACAAATATGCATCAGCTAGCTGCCCACTAACTTGAGGAGCAGAGCAACTTGATAACAGGTCTACAGACTATGATGTTGTCATGCTGAGGTTGCAGCTATCACAGGAGGTGTGTTCAGGTACCATCAGAAATGTGAGAATCTGATGATCACAAGCGTTTATATGTGTAGGGTCAGGACTAATGGTTTATAAAGATTTTTTTTCTTCTTTTTTTCCTTTTCTTTCCTCCAGTTTTCTGAGGTGCCTTTAGCACCCGCTGGCTGCCCTCGAAGGGCCTGCACCCCCCATCTTGAAAACTTTTGGGTTAGAATGTTTCCTTAGGCTTCAACAAGGCATAAGCTAAATTGTAATGACTGATAAACAAGGTGCACTGCTGACAATTCCTCCAGAATGGGCTACAGTTAAACCACATTAGAAAAGCCAAAAGCTTTAAATGAACAAAGACATGACACCAACGGCACATCACTTTACACATCTGTGAAAACAGATAGGAAAGATCGCTCTTGATATGTAAAAACTCATGTACATATTTGCACAACATTGAAATCCCACTCGTCCAGGTGTTAATGCGTGGCCTGTGTGGGGACGCCCTCACTTGTATCGAGAGGAGGTGTGTGATGCACAGATATGAAACCACCTATTTAACAGATACGGGCTAAATATATGTATTAGGTGAACTGTTGTTTTGTTAAGGTGAGGTTTTCCTCTCTTGAACTTTATCAGAAGATAGCGCTGCATTTAGGCACTTATGTCCACCAGATGGCAATATATTCCAAACATTAGCAAATCCATAGACCTGACTGTTGGTGCTCTGCAATTTAAACCTTTACTCTCTGCAACTTGATAATGCACTTCAGTCCTTATTTATTTGGTAAAGGAATATAGAAGTGTGTCTCCACTCACAAATAGGATTGTTTTTCTTGAACACATAAATTAGTTTTTATTTAAACCTTAACAATTATCTACACATCAGGACTACAGATACCGCATTACCATCGCACATGTCGGTTGTAATATCTTTAATTGAGAGGAGTCTGGATGGTCTTTTTCTTACTACAGCAGAAAGAAACATGTATTATTTTCATAGGAAACCACACATAGAGCAAGAGGGAGAGAAAAAGATAATGACTTGGTGCCTCCCCAACAACAAAATTAAAAGGTAACAGCCACAAGACAAGAGTCGTTAACAAGCAAACACAGTAAAAAAACACACACTAAACTAACAGTTTAACAAGTTAGGAGTTGCTGTTCATGTTTTGTGAATTCGGAAAGCTGTGACTACTCACACAAGATGACTAGTAAAAATGTTTAAACAATACAATGAGGGCACTGTAGTAAAAAGAATCTCAATACAAAAGTTACCATTCAGGTTAAACTTGGAGTCATACCTAGTAATAGTAATTTATTTTTCCCTTATTTTCTACCTATTTACTGGTGGATCTGCTAGTTGTAACTTTTGTTTTATTTGTCTTATTCATTTTTTTCTTTCTTTGGGGATTGTTTTTGAGAGGGAGAGCTTGCAGTGTCTTTATGTATATAAATATATATATACGTGTGTGTGTGTGTATGTATGTGTGTGTATATACTGTATATATGTGTATATATGTATGTATATATATGTATATATATATATAGTGTCTTTATGCATGTGTATTTACATGTTTATATATGTATGCATATGAGTATTTTACTAAACCGATAAGTAAATATATGTATTTGTCTTTCGTACATACAGTTCATACAGTTATAGTTAATGTGCACAAAGCAACATTAGTTATGCAACGTTAACATTTATGTTAACAAATTTTTAGGACTGGCTTAAGAAGAAATATCAAGTCGTTTAAATAAATCCACCTGACACAGAACAAAAATGACAAGTCGTGTATTCTTTACCCTTAGAGATGATTTTTTTTTCTGTCTTTTTGTATTAGTTATAAATTAATTAAAAAAAAGTTTGTTGTCTGTTTAAAAGTACCACTGCTTAGAAACTGAAGACATAAGAACTTGGGAAGGGGTGTTGGCCCAGTCTCAGTGAAAGGCTTTGCTCCCTTCAGGTGTGTAACCTGACACCTCTGCTGTTTCCATGGTGAAAGGCTGTCAGGAAACTTTCTCTGTTAGATAGGACTGTAAAATACGCTGTTAGTTCATACCCTAGTTCCCTAACACACAAAGAGTCAAATACAAGATCTCAAGTTTTTAACGTTTTACTTGCAAGCAAGGAGTGCAGAACAATGGTTACATTCAAAACTGCACTGAGGAACTCCTCAGTGCTCAAAGCTTATATACATTTTGCTGGCTACATAACATTTCAACAATCAACACCTTCGATTTCGGTGACCTCCACTTGACATTCCGTTGTTTACCTTTCTAGGCAAAGAGACAATTTTATATCGTTCTGTGGTTAGTCTGCAGATGTAGTCAGCGTTATTTGTGCTGCACACATCCTGTCATGTTTAACAGCCAGCATCTGTTCGCAGAAGATCACAGCATCATACACAACCATCTTCAGTTGTCATTTATTTAATACAACATAACAGCAACACTCAGTAATAGTATAAATTGATATGGAAACTTAATATAATGAATACGTTGTAAAGGTTGAATAATTGCATTTACAAATTTTAAAAAAGGCAATTTCCATACTGCCACAAAAAAATGGTTTTAGGCTAGTGTAAATGTACTGTAGTATTTAGGCACCTGTTTAATCTGTGTTATGAATACTCAAAGAGAAACCACTTATTCCAGTTTGTTAACACTGCACAGGGAATAAGATAAACCAGTGATTTGATATGCTTTGGTGTCAACATTTTTTTCCCTCCCCCTTGGCTCAGGTAGAGTGCATGGGCGGGCAGTTTGATACCAGAGGCTTCACCTGTAAGGAAGAGTGAGGCGGAGCATAAGAGCAATAGAAGAAACAGAGGGGTGAGACAGGTGTGAGTGTTGGGATGATCCTTGACAAAATTATGAAGGACAGTGGAGCTACGTGGTTGATGGATTACTCAGCTGTGGCGCTCAACTATAGAATGATTCAGAGGAAAACTGGCAAACAGGTAAATCTGACATCATGTTCTTTTAATCCAGCTACAACAAAACACAGTGAAAATCATCACTGTAGCCTTTCCCAATCCACCTTTTTGTCCTGTTTGTAGACGGTTGGTTGTGAGCAGCCATAGTTCATGTTCATCTGGGTCACACCTGCAGGCTCCAGCAGAGACTTGTCCAGTGAAGCCCGTGTTCCTTTGTGTTTCATCGTATAAAGCAGAGGTTCAGTAGTCACATTACGCCAAATTTTGACCTTTTATCTGTTGTGTGTGTTTTATGTTTTCATGGTATCCCAGTGTAATGATGAGTGACATCACTGATAAACTCAGTGGTAGATTTTGTTTGTTCTCTTTTTTTTTTTTACCATCACAGAAGCTCGGTTCGCACAAGACAATGACCAAAGAACGCATAGAATCTGGTTTGTGGCTTTTAATCATCAACTTTGTTTTGTTCAACAGATTTCTTTATCCAACTAAACTGTTGATTATGTTGTGAAAAGTAGAATGTTTTTATTTATATATTAATATATATATCATATGTGTTTAAAAATTAGGGCAGTTTTAGAAATGAATTGTTGTGTACAGAGCATAGACCACTAAAAACCTTTAAAAATGTCTAATCAACTTTAGAAATAATGACAATTGATAAACACAATAAGGATTTCCAAAGTTATCCATATGTTTTTGGATTTCAAGAGTGAGGACACGTTTGTCAAGTCTGTTTGTCAAGTTTGTAGAAGTCAAAGACAGTTTCTTAAATCCACCCCAAAGCAACTGCCTGTTAAACAACTATGTACACATTTAGTTTTTACTTTGTTTCATGCTGTATATACAGAAATGATTGTGTATATGAGTGAGGAGCCACATTGGAATGTCACTGTGAGCAGATCATTTTCTTAGGATTACAGATTTTTTTTTTTTCTCAATGAGAATGGTCTGATCTGTGACATGAAAGCATTCTCTCGAGATGTGAGTAACAGTTCACATCCACTGGGAGCCATGCATTACATTGATCTGCTGAGATCAGCTGGTTAAGATGATACATGGAAATAGTTCAGCCTGTCTAGCAGTCTGACAAATGTTTGTCTGGCAGAGCTCTCCTGGGAGGTTAAAGCAAACAGACGAGAGTACCATGAACAGCAACAGAAAAAGTCCTTTCTGTGCTTCCAGCGGGGACATCAGAGGGTGAGTCAGTGACCTTACTTACCTCTTATCACCTAACACACCTGTAACGGAACAGATTGGTTGTGTTGTCGTGTTTTTCCCTTGTGCTTTTCTCTGACTCTCTGTTGCTCTTCTTCTCTGTTGTCAGGACAACGTGGTGCGCAGCTACAAGTATTCCCCCCTGACCTTTCTCCCTTTGACGCTCTTTGAACAGTTTCAACGAATGGCCAATATCTATTACCTACTTATGGTGGTATTGCAGGTTAGACGATGCTTCTGTTCAGATTTCTCATCAATGAAGCTTTCACATTACACAAAGAGACACGTTTCTCTTCTTGAGCTGCTGGGATAGAAAAAATGTTACCATGTTTTTGACAATAACCAGAAAACAATGATGACTGTGTGAGAAGATCATTTGACTCTCCATGAAATATGACAAAAACAGGTTATGAGACCTCAGAGTCTTAAGGTTTGTCATGAGTTCCTTTGTTATTTGAAATTCCCCATGTCCATTATAACTTTAGATTGTGAGACAGGTCAGGTTTGAGTTGTTAATGTGCAGTGATGTAAATGCAGGACTTCAAAATGATCTATAACCAAAACCATTTAGTCTTTAAACACACACTCCAAATAATGTCTTCTCCTGCAGTTAATTCTGAACTAGTTTTGTCTTTTAGAGTTAAAAAGTGTAAATGATAATAATCATAATCATAATGGGCTAATAAAACACTTTTGCTCTTATTTGCTGTTATTAATCAGCAATTAGCCACATGATTAATATTCTTTCTGACCTAAAAAAAACCCCAACTTTCCATTATGATTGAATGATTATACAGTGACGCAGTGACAAAAGACAAAAAAAGATAAACACCTTGTTCATTAAATGTTATTGTCAGAGTTGTCATTCCTAATTCTGTGATGATTTTCAGAATATTCCTGAACACTATACCTTTAAAAGATCACATGGGTAATATTTTAATATTACCCATTCAAATGCTAAACTGTTGTACAGTTACTGTTTATTATTGTTAAACAGTAGCTCTGGTCTGAGAGAGATGATCTAGATCAGGGCTGCCCACTGGGTAGAATGTGACTTAGAAGTAGATCAACAGGAAGTGCTGTTTATGAGCAACTGAATAAAAAATATATGTAAATTAAAGATGTAATTCTATTTTAGATCTTTATCCCTATGGCTTAAGTAAGGATATTATTGTCCATACAACTACCACAATTTATTCAGTACTTATTTTCAGTACATAATGTATATAAAAAGGTATATTTAGTTTATATGAGTAAATATATTTAATGTTTTCGGTCTAGGTAGATCATTTTAACCTAGTCATTTGAAAAGTAGCCCCCAAGAAAAAAAAAAAGTAGACACCCCTGATAAAGGTGGATTAAGAGAGGACTTGATTTTATTAGTGTTCTTCTCTGTGTCTTCATGTTGATTCCAGTGCATCCCCATGATCTCCACCATACCATGGTACATTGCTATGATCCCTCTGCTGTCAGTCCTCCTGGTCAGAGGTGTGAAAGATCTGGCCAATGACATGGTGAGTTCACTCTACACCTCATTCCCGCTTCACCCCTCAGCCACGGAGCAGTCTGGGATATCGACCATCACTCAGCGACCAACACAAGGGCTCGCGTGCACGTGCATGATCTTAAACACAACAATATATGACCGGCTGCACGCACGTTGCATTTATGCACCTGGCACTTAAGCACACGTGCACTCTTTTCTCTCTTACATTGTCCCCATTGACTCTGTGTCCTCTCTACATTGACCAAACCAGTCGTCCCAGTCGCATTAATTTCCCCTGGTATCATTAACGCTTTTCCTTTTAAATGCAGGCAAGATGTTTTGCATGGTGAATTCTCCAGTTAAGTGCATCACTGAGTTACGGTCGTTAACAGCTCTGGGTGAAACGCATGCTTGACCCCTCTCTATTGACTAATCATTTAGGTGAGGGTGTAAATCTCACAGCTACTGTCACTGTAGAGTCCCATAATGGTGTGTCTCCTTCCTCCAGTCCAACCTTTCATGGCTGTCCTCACTCCCTCTCACACTCTCCCTGTCCATCACCACTGATCCACATCCACACTCCTCACTTAATTTCTGTCTCTCATCTCTTTTATTTTTGTCTATCTTCCTGTTCCAGGCAAGGAGACGCAGCGATGCCGAGATTAACTCCCGACCATGTGACATACTTATCTCCCAGAGGTGAGGACAGAGACAAGTGTGTTATTCTCTCAGGACTCGGAGCAGTTCCACTTTGAAACGGCTCGCTAATGAAGCCCTAATGAAGTGTGAATGAGTAAGTCCCTTGATGGACCCTACGTGCATTAGAGCACAGAGGAGACAAAATATTAAGGCCGTCACGTTCTATATAAGATTTTTTTTTTTTTCATGTTGATCTAAACAGTGTAACGGCTGTGTCAAAGCTATGGTGTTTGGGCCTCGTGTTCAGAACAAACAACAAGGACAAATTATTTCCTTTAACAAGAAAAAGAAGGGAATGCACAGTCAATAGAAATGGAATAGTTGTTCTTAGCATTAACATTTTAGGATAAATGTTGGTTTATCCTAATCTAAATGTTAGACCTAAATATGACCACTGTCTTCTAACCTCATCAGTTTAACAACAGCGCAATGGAAGGATCTGTGTGTGGGAGATATACTCCGAATCCACAAAGACCAAGTCTTGCCTGTAAGAATCAGATGTTCTCCTGATCTCTTTGTTTTGGCCTTCTCTAGATGTGTTCATGTCATGTGCTACAAACCACAAATATAGAATAATGTTGGACTTAAATTATATATTAAATATAAATTGTATATGCAATGTTTTAGCTTTAGTTTTAGCAATTACGTTCTATTAATCCAGTGTTTAACAAAGTGGGGACATATACATATACTGTAAAGTAAGGATGCAGCAAGGTCATTTTATTTTATTTTGCATTTTTTCTCTATTTGTGACAATAGCTCGGCACTAAAGGAGTAAGGGGTCGGGGGCTGCTGCAAAAGAATCTGGAAACCACTGCTTTAATCTCAGACTCTGCCCCCTGCAGTGGAGTTAATGCACAGGCCTAAAGCTGAGTGCACTGCCAACATAGTAGTTTTTCTGTGAAAATATTTTTATTCCACATCAACAAGGATAACATTAAGGGTAACTAGAGTATATAGTGCTGAGTGTCTGGGGATTTGGAAGACTCTTCTCTGCTCACCTTTCTCCTTGAATATGTTACATGTATACAACCTTCAATAGTTAGTCATCGTCAGGTCATGGCTGTGAGCTGTGATCATGGCCCTCTCTCCAGTGCTTGATTCTTCTTTGCTGGGTCTGTTTCCAACAGCTGAACAGGATTTTAACACAAATATCTGTACAAATTTGAAAGTTAAGAGGGAATACAGACAGCAGAAATAATGTCCTTACTTTTTTTAAAAATAACTTAGCAGATTATAATTGTACAATTCTATTGTTATTGTTTCCCATGACAACTTTAGCATATCCATGGTTAGTGTTCATGTAGATGTTCTTATTTACGTGGTTTTTCTCTCTCCTTACAGGCAGACCTCCTCCTCCTGTGTAGCTCAGAGCCTCACAGCCTCTGTTATGTTGAAACTGCAGACATTGATGGGTAAAGACCTTAGGCAGTACAGAAGCTGTTGAACAAATTACATTATGCAAACAGAGGTTATTATGTGGTGAAATTAATGCAGGCCAGATTTGAACTAAAACGTTTTGAAGTCATGCATGTACATTAAGATGGATTATTAGTATCAGTGTTTCACAGCCTCATTTGGGCTACAGCATATTTCTCATTAGGAAATTCTCACCGTGCACCTTATAATTAAATATAATCTTCTAGTTTCAATTTACCCACAATTAACTTACTCAGTATTAACGGCTGTTTGGGCTGTTTTGTAGAAAACAGTGCTGATATACTTGCAGGAATTGAAGAAAGACGATCTTCTTTAACAGTCTTTTTTTTGTCTCTCTCTCTTGAAATTGGATAGTTTTCCATAGTACACCTGACAATCTCTTATGGCAGCACATTGGTGCTGCTGCACTGTGGTTTGGGATCACTACTTTATATTGTCAACATAAACCTAAAACCCTCTTTATAAACATTGTTAAACAAACTGTAAAAACAAATGTATTATTTTTTTTTATCAACACTTTAGCTTATAAATAATTAATAAGACTTAGTTGATTGTTCACTTCACGATTTAAATGTTGTGTTTTCTTTTATCTCAACACAGAGAAACCAACCTGAAGTACAGGCAAGCACTCAGTGTAACACACACAGAGCTGACCTCTAACCCCACAGAGGAGACCCTCGCAGCCTTTGATGGTGATGGTTTCTAAGTCAACTTTCATTATTTCAAAAAGCCCACATGTTTTGTTCAACACGCACTTTTTCTATAACAGGCATTGTTCTCTGTGAGGAACCCAACAATCGTCTGTACACTTTTAGAGGAGAACTGCAGTGGCGAGGAGAGACTTATCTGCTGGACAACAGTCACATCCTCCTCAGAGGAACAGTTCTACGCAACACAAAGTTTGCTTATGGCGTGGCCATATATGCTGGTACGTGAACATTTTCTTTGTTGAAAATCCTGTTCTAATGAAATCAGCAAATCCTCTTTAGATTAAAAGCTTAAAAAAGTGTTTTTGTTTTCCTCATTAACAGTATTTGGAATAAATGAACTGACAGGTGTGCCACTATGACAGTTTAACGGACAAAAAGTCATCTTATCTCTAGTAGGGTACTTTTATGTACTTTACACATTACATTTTAGAAGATAACGTCATTTTTAGAAAGAGCTGAGGAGACTGTGAAAAGATGGACACAAACTTATTCGACAGCTTACGATTTTTTTTCAAACTCATCTCTCAATGACATTTTATGTGGAATATATTATACTGCTAATTATAGATAGTACTTCACTCATGGAAAAGTGGGTCTGTTAGGCTCTGGCCAATTAGAGGCTCCTTCTTTCTTTTAAGTGATCATTGATCGTATATTACTGAACCGGGCGGAGGTGTCACGGGTGTCGCTGCCGTGACCCTTTCAATTCTGCTTAAATAGATCAATACAATAAGCGCCGCCAGAGATGGGTTTCAAACCATTTATGAGAGTGAATGTCTATTAGTGGGACCCTTGTTCAGTCTGATTATAACTTGCAACCTTTCTTTCATACACTACTTTACACAACTTAGTGTCTGCAACTTAAATTGTAAAAAAAATCTTAAGAATATATTTATACTATTTATATTAGTTTTAATTAGTTTTCAGTTTTCTATTTGTTACATTTAAACAATGAAATTGGAGCATTGTTACTTCCTCGGTGTGAGATTGAGACAACATTTTAAAAAACAATCATATTATAAGACTTTATTGATCCCTGTAAGGGAAATTCTTTCTTTCCTCTGACCTCGCTGCTTAGGGGTCAGAACACCCTCACAAATGATAATTGTTCAGCATCTTGCTCAAGGGTAAAACAGCGATAGCTTGCTGACACAAATACTTAAACCCTTATCTTCAGTATGACCTCCCCAATCACATATTAGGCCCCCTCAGCCATCAACATCTAAAATCTGTTCTGTATCAGGCAGCGACACGAAGATCCTGAGGAACTGCGGCAAACTGGCGGTTAAGAGGACTCAAACAGAAAAAGTTTTCAACAGGGTGGTGATCGGGGTGAGTGACTACACCACAGGGTGTGAGACCGTAACATAAACTATGTTGCACTGTTAATGTAAACTCTCCATATTCTGGATTTTCAGATCATCCTGTCTGTGCTAATGATAGCAGTGCTCCTGGGCATCGGCAGCTGTGTCTTCTCAGTTCAACTACTGACACAGACGGAGGATCTGTCTGATCTGGTCGTCAGTGACAATCCAGTGTACACCGGTTTCATCGCCATATGGAGCTACATCCTTCTGCTTAGCCCTGCCATGCCTGTAGCACTCTACATCTCGTCAGTCTAAAAAAAATGAAACACCTGAAAAAAAGTCAACATCCAGAGTATGCATGTATGAAGGAACGATGCTGTTTTTAAGTGTTAATGCACTGACTGTGTCCTGTCCACAGGTTTGACATGGTCCACACTGTCCACAGCCTGTTTATTGACTGGGACTTGGAGATGTATTCACAGGAAACTGGCAAACAAGGCCAGGCCAGGAACACCTCGTTGAATGAAGAGCTTGGACAAGTGGGCTACTTGCTGAGTGACAAAACTGGGACGCTGACCCAGAACCGTTTGCTCCTCAGGCAGTGCTGCATCGCTGGAGATATCTATGGTAACAAATACCAACATGTATTTTAAGTTCTGTCTACATCTCTGTCACACTAAAGTGCAACACACACATTCTTCTGGATCTAAATCATCAACACAAAAGCCTCAAGTGGCCCATATATACAAATGTCAAAGATCTTTATCCAGGTGTGGGCCTCTTCTGACAAACACCCAGCAGTATTTAGTAATACCTCATTTGGACATTGTCTAAAATCAGTCATTTACGTATCATAACTAGTTGGTCTTTAGGACCAGTTAATTGGATTGGACATGAGTGGACCTCTATGTGCTACTGGTCATCTACTGTATGTTGTCACCAAAGTGAAGTATAGGCTAGGTCTGATATACAAATATATTATTATATGGGTTTAAGGGAATTTCATTGCATCTTTTACAGACAATAAATTAAACACATGGTTTACGTTGTTTGAATTTAATTATAACAACTCAAAGTTGAAGAATTTTTTGAGGTGATATTATATTGATTCTACGACGAATTGTTTTAATTTTGTGATCAAATTTACAGGTCACTGGTAGAATGTGGGTTAGATGGTAGACGCAACGTCTTTTATACATTTTTATACATGTTTTTCACATGACAAATTACAGTCGAGAACTGGAAAAGAATATTTTGCTCAAATTTATCTGCTCGCACTATCCTACAGTTTCTACACTAAAAATGAATCTCATTCTCTCTTGTTTTTCATTTTGTTTTGTTGCCCTTGCTAAAGGTTTTGAAATGTATTGCAATTTCCTATTTTGTATTCTGTAATTAAAATCTGTTATGTTTTAGATTTATTCAAAATATAGGTGTGTCATATGTTGCTGGAAATATTGTAAATCACAGTGAACCATTCTGTGTTCATAATGAGAGTAGGACTTTTGTCTGGAGCAGTGATTCCCAATGCAGAGGGGTCATCAAGGTTGCCATGGAAACATTTTCCTATTGTACATAATGGGTCTGAAAGCAAATCATTTATCTCATGTTCATCAATGTGACAGGGACCGGCAGTACAATTAACATACTCTTTTATGAGTTTCCAGCAAAAATCGCCTAAAAACTAAATAAAAAAAGAGAGACCCAGAGCTGTTGAAGATTTTCGTATGTCTTTCCTCAATTCCTGCCAGTATAGCAGTGCTGTATTCAACAAAACAGGCCCAGGTTTCATATTAAGTAAGTAAATTAAAAGTAAAAGATGATTACATTTAATTACATCTAATGTTTTGGATATTTTTATTTGATGGTGTGGAATTTTATAATGTGAGATATGTGTCGTGGCTCAAAGAAGGTTTAGACACTGGTCGAGAGGTGACCATGTTTCAGTGTGTAGTCCCAAATCTAAAAAAGCTTTCATGTTATGATCATAGCTAAAAGCCACAATCTGACAAAAACATTGACATGAAATAGGTTTTGCTATTCAACCAAACCACTTGATAATCTGGTTAACACCACACAGTGAACCTGTGTAGGATTTACCAGGTCCAAACCAAAGGATATACCACGTGGTTCAACACTGTAAATCACAGATTTCCCGTTACATAAACCACAGATGAAAAGACAGTTCTTACAATAGAGAATAATGAAATTAAAGTGCTCATATTCCACAGTCACCAGACGGTCTAATAACTATTACACAGCAAATGACCTGTAACTGAAACCTTCTCCAAATCACTTTAACCATATGTTGAATGTCTGAGTCATTTCCTGTTGCAGAGCCTTTTTCTTTTTTTCTCTCATTCTCTGAATTTCATTTGACTTTATACTTTATACTATCTATTTACAGTCAAACTCTGTATTGCTGATCAATACTAACAGTATTTTATCAGTTTTATATCCTAAGTGTGATATTTGACTTAAATAATTCCTATTTAAATGTATTTAAATTAAATAGTCACTTAACAGTATGTAATTAAAAACAATTGTAATTACTTTTAATATGCTAATTACTATGCCTTACTATGTTTTCTTACAACTAAGTCATTTAAAAAAAAAAACTCAATATATCCTTTTGCCTATTGTATCACAATATATCACAATATATTGTACCGTTGCTCCTGTTTCTAGGATACACCCGTACTGGATATGGATTTTTGTTTTCCATTTATCTATTCTGACATTATTATTAATATAATATTACTGTATATATGTTGTGTATTGGTTATGCCTTTTCTTTGCAGATTTTCAACCTACCATTTAGAGAATGATGAAAAGTGATTAATTATTCTTTCAACTATTTTAGGTGATGCATCAAAAAGAGTTGAAGACATGGAGGTATCGTTCATTTTCATTCTCTTTCTGGTCTTATCTTTTTCTCCCTTCAACATTGTTCAGCCCAGATCTACAGTCTGACCCACCTTCATGGTTTATCTCATGTTCTGTTTTCCACCTTTTTTCTCTTGCAGCCCATGGATTTGAGCTGGAATCCGTTCTCCTGTGGAAGTCTGCCCATGGCAGCTCCTGGTCTCATGCAGAAGCTCAGAGGACAGAAGTGTCTGGTTAGCAGACAGTTCTTCACAGCACTGTCTCTGTGTCACACTGTCATGGCAGAGTGGAAAGAAGGTGTGTGTGTGTGTGTGTGTTTGTGTGTCATACTTGTTTGTGAGAAAAATGCTGTTGTTGTGGGGACACTGTGGCCTTGAAGTATTTTTTGTGTGTTTTGTGGGTGATTGACAGAAATCAGAAACATCCTGTTTGGTTGCGGCAACTGAAAGTAACAGTCGTCTTGACCTTTAAATAAAAGGTCAAAGTAGTAGTCTGAAGCAATGGTGGTGAAAGAGTGAATGAACATTTTACAGTGTGATTGTGCGCTGATCTTTTTTCCTCCAGAGAAGCCTGTTTACCAGGCTGCATCCCCAGATGAGGGTGCTCTCGTTGGGGCTGCCAGGGAGCTGGGCTGGGTCTTTCTGTCTCGGACCAGAGACTCTGTTGTCATCTCTGAGCTGGGTGTAACTCGGCAGTATCAACTGCTGGCAGTGTTAGAATTTACCAGCAAGAGGAGACGCATGTCTGTGCTGGGTATTTTATCCAAACAATATAGTCAACACTTATGTCAATGTCAGGTTCTGTAAGGTAAGACCTTTTTCTGAGTGACCCTTTTTCTGGTTTCTAGTTCGGGAGCCAGAGGGTGGGTTAAAGCTCTACTGTAAAGGAGCAGACATGGTGATCCTGGAGAGACTGCAGAAAGACAGCGCATTTCAGGAAAGGACTGAAAACGCTTTAGAGGTGAACTTACCTGATATTTACAAGTGAGCAAAGGCTCACATTTAGTAATAAAAAATGGCAGGGGAATTAATGAGCATTTTAAAATGTTAATATTCAGGTTCACAACCTGAAACAGCCCTTTAGTTGAACCACCATTGTCACAGTGTTTACCAGACCATAACCATAATGTTTTTTCACTATGGAGGAATGAGTTAGATGAGCTTATTAAATCAAAACAGAAAATTGATTATCAAAAGTTCACACAATGATGATGAATGTCATTTTCCGCCTGTAGTTTTTCAGTATCAGAGAAAGAAAACCAGTGAGTCTTATTTTAGAAAATGATCCATTCTTCCTTCTGTCAACTTATCCCTGTTCCAAATGCTTCAACTCCACACTTTAGGCAAGTGGAATGGCGGCCTTAACATTTAGTAATTCACTGTCAGTGAGGAAACTGGAAGACTTTCCAAATAAGTGAATTTTTGTACTCATGTCCTTCAGATTTGTCTCACATACTTATTTACATTAGAGTCCCTTTCTTCTTTGTTTTTAGGTTTGTTTCCATTAGTTCTGTTCTGTTCCAAACATGAAGTTCTTCAGTTAATCACTCCAGATATTTGTGGAGTGGTGCCTTCTAACTAAAATACCCAAAAGAAAGAGGTGTTATAAATTTGAATTTTCACAAAATTCAATATTAGTTAGGCTGATGAATTGACTCTTGTTTAAATTGTTCTTGTTTAAAATGTCAATCAAAGACACAAAAAACGATGAAATATTTTTGTCAGGATGTTTGAAGTAGAATTAATTTAAGTACTTAGAGTTTGTTCTAACAAGTGCATTTACTCCTAAGTCTCTATCTCTAACTCTCTCCCTAACCTCCTCCTCCTTTCTCTGCTTCTGTCTCTCTGTAAGGTCACTGTTAACACTGTGTGGCCACAGTAACAACCTGTTGACTCATCTCCCCTCAGATGTTTTCTCAATCCTGTCTGAGGACTCTGTGTATTGCGGTTCGAACCGTTGCTGAGGCATTATGGGAGCAGTGGCGCAAAACTCTGGTCAGGTCTGCTGCCATGACGACCTGTGAGGGTGAGGCACTGTTGGAGAAGCTGTATGATCAGATGGAGACAGAGCTGCAGGTGAGCTCTTAGCACGTGAGAGATGTTAATGGTCAATCCACCAGTTTGAGTGGTACAGCTAATGACTGACCAAATATGACCACCACATTTACACATTACACTTTAACTTACCTTTTGTGTTTACCTCATTTATAACGTCTTCACTTTAACATCCCAAAACCGAACTTTCTTCTTTTTTCAATTAGTCAAATACGGCTCTACTGAAGAAATCAGTTATTGAGATGCTAATATCTTATGATGGGATTATGTGACCTTAATTAACAACTATTCATCAACGTCAATAATGCAGCCCCAAACACTTTTGTGTTTCACAGCTCCTGGGTGTGACTGCCATAGAGGACAGACTCCAAGAAGGTGTTCCTGAGACCATTGCTCTACTTCAGCAGGCTGGGATAAAAGTATGGGTACTAACAGGGGACAAAAAAGGTGTTGTGACAAGTGAACTTCTGAATTAATTATACTTCTGTGATTACATTGAAAGAAAACCTTGTTTTTTATATTCTTTCCTTTTTTCTTGCCTCCTGCAGAGACTGCAGTAAACATCGGTTATTCTTGCAAACTACTGGATGCTGATACTAGATTACTGGAATGGCAAGAGCTGAGGTTAGCAATGATAAAAAACACACAAGCGCAGACACACATGTACACACCCTGACACCCTCTCATTGATCTTTTGTGTTTACCTCTGCAGACAGATATTCCAAACCCCAGACCCCAGGGTCAGTTTCTTCAAAGCCAGACGGATGGAGCTGTGGGCTGTAGACAAGGAGATGGCTGCGCCGAAGACTGCTGTAGTTCTCACTGGGCCTGAGCTGGTAAACGCTGGCCTGTATATCAAAGCACTATTGTCCTGTTAGAGATTGTGTCACAGAAACACAAGCCTTTACTATTGTTATTGATGCTGAAATATGACATTGGACGATAACATGAATACATAATGTGATCTTTTTGTTTTTTTATTGCTGTCAATGGAGATCAACATTTTAATCTAATTAATTACATGATAAATGTGGATTAATTACATTAATGGTAAATAATCATGATTAATCATAATATTGTAAATAATCATGATTAACTGAGAAAAATCAACATTTCAAATCACAATACTTATATTGCTAGAACAGAAAGACAAAGCAGGAAGATGTATGTGTTTCACAGTTGTTTATGTGTGACTAATCAAAATGATGGAATTATTAATATAAATAAAAATAGAACAGTAGAACTCCAATTTTAGCTCCATACAGTTGGTGAGTCACTGCTGTGCATTTTGATAGTTGCTTGTAAAATGCATTAAGAGTTAGTTTCAAAACATATAAACATATTACTGTCCTGTGCTCAGTGAGGCTGGTCTGATTCAAGCATCTGACCGTCAGCATCTGAAGATGAAGCCTCCACATATACATGCTGGGTGTCACGGTATTTAAAGGTTGAGGTGCTTAGTAAACAAAAATATTTTCCCAAATTGTGTTCAAATACCAGTGTCTTGACTAGGGATGGCTTGACAACATTTTATGCCTGATACTGCAACTTGTATCATACCGTTGATAATCAGACACCTTCATGCTGTGGTGATATGATGATGTCCCTGTTTGACATGTTGTGCAAAATTAAGTTGAGCATTTGGGCTTAGGTATCGGATCAGATGGGCTATAGTTTGTTTTTGTGTTTTTTCGAAGTTTGAGCCTAAACATTTGAATAATATCGGACCGATACCGATCGATTATTGGATCAAGCCATCACTAGTGTTGACTGTGTATTAGTGCAACTGTTGGTGGGTTAAAGATGGAATTGTTTGATAAATGCTGCGCATCATCCTGCCAGTTCAAATCAATGATTAATCTTCACAAATGAATGAATTAATGCATTCAGTTTGACATTGATCCCTAGCTGTTGCTGATGGTCTGTTGCATGGACTGTGCATGTTCTTCCTGTGTGTTTGGTTCTTTAACGATGGTAATTGGACACTATATTCACAATAAGTTTGAATCTGAGTGTGAGTGGTTGTTAGTGCCTCTGCTGTATGTTATAGACTGGTCACCTGCCCGGGGTGTCAACTGGGATCAGCTCCAGCTCCCTCCATGAGCATGAAAATATTAATGATGTTTGTTGGTATTATACTTCAGATAGAGTTGGATCAGAGACCAGAATGGGGGGCCACCTTCATGAGCTTGGCAGAACATTGTACGTCAGTGCTGTGCTGCCGCGTGACTCCCGGCCAGAAGGCTAACATCGTCACACTGGTCAAGAAACACATGAGCTGTGTGATCATGGCCATTGGGGACGGAGCCAACGATGTAAACATGATTAAGAGTAAGTTGGACAAGGCTGAAAGAGAAACTCCACGTTTATTTTCTTGTGTTTTGGCTTGTTTGTCTTCAATCTCTGTGTGTTTTTATCCAGCGGCTCATGTTGGTGTTGGACTGGCAGGTGTGGAAGGAGGTCAGGCGGTGCAGAATGCAGACTACGCTTTGCCCCAGTTCAGGTTTCTACAGAGGCTGTTACTGGTCCACGGGCGATGGTCATACAGGCGCATTTCTACCTTCCTGAGCTACTTCCTGTTTAAGACGTGCAGCTTTGCTCTAGCTCACATATGGTTTGGCCTCTTCAATGGCTTCAGTGCTCAGGTTAGTCACATATGGAAAAGGTTTCTTCTGAAAAAACGTAGTTAAAGCTGTGTTAATCTCAACATGTCTGTTTCTTTGGTGTAGCGTATGTATGAGACGTGGTTCATCTCCTCCTACATAGCCGTCTACACAGCATTCCCTGTTCTGTGCACAGCCTTTTTTGAACAGGTATTACTCTTATTTTAAAAACAGAGAAACTCTGCCATAAGTTCTCCAGCTGACTCTTTGTGTTGTAGGATGTGAGTGCAGAGAACAGCTTGAAGTGGCCAGAGCTGTACAAGACCGGTCAGAAACAGGAGCTGTCCAACCCTCTGAGGCTCTCTCTGTCCCTGCTCTACGCTCTCTACGCTTCCTTCATGCTGTTCTTTATACCGCTGGGAGTTTTTCACAATACAACCTTTGATTACCAGACCATGGCAGTCACTGTCTCCATGGCAGCTGTTTTTACAGCATCAATTGAGGTCAGAGTCATGCACTTATATACATTTATTTAAAATGTTTAGATTTTATACGTCCAGCTTTCTCTAGTCAGACACCTTATTTGTCTAATTAGAAGAATCTTCAAATATAAACTTAGTTTTAAACGTATAATCCCAATTATTTGTAATTTTTAAGCATAGTATTTTTGGTCAAGTTAAAACAATATTATTACAAACGTGTCTTCACTAAATCTAATACATGTGCTTATTCAGTATTCAGTTGTCCTAACAACATTATTGTTTTGTGTGTCAGATCATTCTGGTGACCAGGTATTGGACAAAGTTCAACATTGCAGCTTTGTGCACCTGTGTGCTGCTCTACTTCATCTTTACCAGGATTGCACACAGCATGCGCCTGTTCCAGCTTTCACCTACTGACTTCTCCTTCATCGGTACACAACTCTACTCACCGTGAGCCTGTAATTCATTTATGAGCAATATTGCTCCTGATGTTGGCTTTTTTAACATCTGTAACTGAAGTACTGGAGGGGTCAGGGGTCAGGGGTCATGTTTGCACTATTTCATAGTACTGTAACATTATTTGATAAATACAATAAGGAGCCATGTAGTGACAGAGTGGTTAGTGCTGTTGCCTTACAGCATACAGATGGGAGATGGGTCACACTAAATTAACTGTAGGTATAAATGTCATCATTTAAATCAACCTCATGTACTCCAAACAGTCGTGTGAGCGTAAACGACAAAGGAACTCGTTGCAGAAACAGTGACAGTTCAGTGGAAGTCCCTGCTCTGTGATCCGTGTTGTGACTTGGTTTGATTGCCCTGCATATGATTCTCATCAGGTGTGTCTGAGAAGGCCTTCATCGATCCAGTGGTGTGGCTCACTGCTCTGCTCACGTCCTGGACAGCTGTTCTGCCCTCAATGACTGCTCATGCCCTCAATGTCATCCTCACCGTTAACAACACACACAAGGTGAGACAACTGCATGGAAGAAAAGACAGAGTCAATCAGGCCACTAAAACAGGAAGTTCTGCTCTCTATTACAGAGTGATCTGCCGTAGTTCATTTGTTTTCCTGGGCTGGAAAAGTCACTAAATAACACTGTTTATTAAACCTCTTTTACCTGCTAAACCCCTGAATAGTTTCACTCAAAATGTAGTTCTGAAAATTGAGAACCCGTTTCCTTCAAACAGAATCATTGCTTATGAATTCTACTGAACATTTGCTTAGTGACATTTGATTAATCCAACATTTGAATCAACATTTATAGATTGTAAATTGTATAAGTGTAGTATTAATGTAAATTAATGTAGATCCTAAACAGCTTATTGTCTTAATCCCCTAGTTGTGATTTGGGATTACAGACATTTTTACTGCAACACCTATGAGCCCAGTATTTTCTAAATCAAAGGTAAATATTTAGATGTTTTAAAATAGCACACATTAGGAGTGTGATGGGAGTTTACTCTCCTTAGCCAGCTTTTATTGTAACTGTATCCCACCACTGCCATTGTTTTTTTTTAGTTGTTCCATAGTGTATCATACCCGCCTACTTAATGGCGCCACCCTATGTGCATTGCAAAGACACCATATAGCAAATACAGAATTCAGACGAATCACTGGAAGTCAACAGCTAACTGACATCCTGTGCACCTGTGTTTGATGTAGGTCCACAGCTTGAACAATCAGCCGATGGAGCTGAAGCAGAAGTTTAGCAGGGCGGCATCCTAGTCCTCTTGAAGGACAAAAAGTTCTGGATGTCTTGTATCTACTTGGATATGCATTAGAACGGCTTTAGTGATGGATGAGAAGGTGAGAAGGTCTCTGCACATCAGAATCAACCAACACCACGAGCATCAAATTCATAAGATTGACACAAGGTCTTGACTTGATAATAATAGTTTTTGAAATGATCCAATTTATTAAAGTACGAATATATAGAAAAAGAATTGTAGATCTGCCTTGATAAAAAATATTTTCCCAGTTTTAAAGCATTTCTATAAAGATGTCACTCTTTTCTATGACTGCATTTTCAAGTAAATATGTACACAGAATGAAATGGACCACAGACCTTTTTATTACCTCCACACCGACGTATGGACACTGTTAACAGTCTGTTTATCTGCTCATCCTCCTCCAAACACAGTAAACTGACAGCACACGCTTGTTTTACAATTGTTTTATTTGTTAATTTATTTCAAAACACGCAATTTTACCCATATTATCCTTTTAAGTTTTTTTATTTTTTTGTAACAGTTATTACTCAGATTATTTTCCTTCTCAAAAGTCTCAACTAGAGTGAAACTAAAAGTCCTCCACAGGCTCTCCGGCTTCTGCAGTGGGAGGAGGGAAAAGAGGCTTTCTGACCAGACGTAGTGAGTGGGCTTCTCCCTTGTTTCTGTGTGTGGGTGGAAGTGTGTGAGGATGTGTGTGTTTAAGTGCAATAGGTGGAATGTCCACAGGGCTGTTAAATCTCAGGACCCGTAGAGCAGCCCAGAAACTGAACTATGTCTTGTAGGTTTGGTAGCCAGATTGTCATACCTCTGATTTCATCTTTGGTTTCAGCGAACTCTCTGAAAAGGCAGACTCACCCTTTTCTAGCATGTGCCTGTGTTTGTCCTTGTGTCCGTCTGTCACGCTGTCTGTCTGAGTGCAATACGAGCCACCGTCTCCAGACGACTTTGTAAACTTGAGTACGTACAATGTAAGTGTCTTTGCATTGATTGTGGCCCTTCCTTGGCGCTGGGAAAAGACAGTCGAACATTGTAGAACAGCGGAGTCATGATTGGGGAGGAGCGGTTTGCAAACATCATCATGGACTCCATTGTGATGTCAGTGGCAGTTTTGGGCGTTTGTGTGAAGATGTACAACATGTGTAGTGAAACTGGGGCTGCTGTAGTGCTCTTCTTCCCTCAGCCACTCTAAACTATTTTTACCCTGAGTGACTTTGGGCGTTAACTGCCTGTCTGGGCTCATGGGAACAGAGATCGGGTCAAGGAGAGGTCAAACTATAAGCATCTAAATATGTAGACGTGGAGGGAGCATGAGGGGTTGTCAAGGTTGAGGGTTGTACACTCTGACCCAGCAGCAACGATTAGGATTGGGGGGGTCAGGTGTTTGCATAGTTCTCTGTGCAAAAGCCACCAACCGGAGCCACTTGTTTTTCTCACGGCTGATTTCATCATCATCGTTTTTAAGCAGAAAATAATGGTGCATGATGGGACATGTTTTTTGCACCACAGGTGGGTGTTTCTTTTTTTTTTTTTTTGGTAAGTCTGCATTACACTGAATGGCTTCAGGAGGGTGAAAAGTAAAACAAAATGTACAAATAAAGGGAATTTTGAATGTTTGAAATGTGTGTCTTTGTCTGTGTGTGTGTGTGTCTCTGTATCTGTTTGTTTGACGTTTGAAGCGGAACGATGCGTCAGTGGCGTGGCACATGGTAGGAGCGGAGGGGACGGACATTTGGCAGTAGGGCTTTACAGCTGCTCCCGATTCAGACAACCTCTTTTCCCTTGGTTTTCTCCTTGCATCCTCCCCTTCTTCCTCCCCACTGGCCTGCCCTCTCTCTACCTTTTTTCTTGTTTTGAAACTGATTGTCTTCTACCATCACAAAGACACTTGGTTCTGATTGATTAACAGGTAACAGAAGAGGGAGAGCACAGTGTGACTGGGGGTGTCTACGTCAGCCCCACCTGCAGCCTAGTCGATCCCACAATGAAATGACACACACATATGCTGTTTGACAGTAACTGCTGATGGACATTTCTCGTGAGACGATCAGTTGCCCAGTGGTACTGTTGGTCGATCGGTCAGTAAGACATGGTTTCTTTTTTTTTTTTTTTTTTTTTTTTTTTTTTTTTTTACCGCATGACAAATATTGCAACCCATAGTAAAAGGAGGCTTAGAAAAAGAAAACACACTTTGTCTTTCACATAGGTACAAATGGACACACGTACACAGATTGAAGAAAAGCATGTAGACAGACATACAGGTGTAATCAAGGCCACCTGGGCCTGTGTGTGTCCCTCTGATTAACTCCAAATGAACAGCCTGTCTTTGGAAAAGCAGGACACACATTTCAGGACCCGAGTGAGGACCACAAGCTGAGGAATGAAAATTGGATGCTATTGATTGATAAGAGAGGAGTATGACCTCCCCCAGAACACACTGCCCCCTACTGTCTGGATTTATATACATTAAAAAAAACATTGAGGAGAAAAGGGGGGACGGGTTGCAACAACACATGCACACAACCAGTTAATCCAACAGTGACGGAAAAATCTAAAAACAAAGACCCCTCCAAAGCCTAAAACCCAAATTCTCCCACCCCTTCCTTTTGTTGTGATAGCCAAAATATCCCCCGCACTTTCTCCTCCCACTCCCATAGCTCTCGATTCTCCTCGTCTCCCCACAAAATCACAGGTCATTCCTGTTGGTTTCTATACAGTTATACAATATCCATGCACAAAAGAAAAAGGTGCACCCCCTTTTTAACAGGAGGTGCTGGTCTTTAATATTCTAAGAACATCAGGAGCACTTGGACACACCCAGCAACCTTTGAAAGTAACTGTGATTTTTTTTTTTCAGAGAAAAGACAACTTAAAGGCAGAAGAAAGCAAACGATGAGTGAAAGGTTCTCCCTCACGCGGCCTAGTGTTAGATTATTATTATTTCTTTGGAATTAAATTCAGCCCAAATTTGATTTTTTTTCTTTGCCCCCGCCCCCACTATTAGACCCACTAATGAAAAGGGTTTCAAACCACACTCCTTAAACGTCTGTTGATTCTCTTCTTCTGTCTCTTCTTTTCTCTCGTTACCCTCCACAGAAACATTCACAATGTCTTTTCCTTTATGAAAACAGTAAGTACATGCCGCAGCAAAAAAGAAACAAAAGAACGTACGAGGAAAATGAGCGAACAAATTAAAGGAATTTAACAGTATAAAGCTTCAAGTCACAAGTTCCAAAACTAACTATAATAGTATCATAGTTTCATAATCATCGTTATCATTATCAGTATTATTATTTTCAGTTTAAATTACATAAAGTTTACATGAAAGGTTTTTGAGGTATTTCAGAATTAATTGTCAACACACGCCTACCGGGTCTTAGCACTAGCCAGGGGGAGAGGAAGGAGTGAGGTGGAATGAATTTGTGTCTTTAACCTGTCACTGAGTCTTCGTACCTTTTCTAGTGCAGCCTCTGTGCTAGCACGCAGTCGAGAGAGAGAGAGAGAGAAAAGAAAAAGATTTTATGGTGTGATTTAATGACAACAGCCCTCGCAGCGCTCAGAGCCTCTGCCTTTTTGCCCCCTCTTTCTACACAAAAATATCTCTGATTTGAGGGAGGCAAAGTGGCTGAGAGTGAAAGTGCACGGGGCAAATAGAGAGGAAAAAAGGGAAACCACTCAAAAAGGCTGTGAGCTACTAGAAGATCAACGGCACAGCAACAAAGACTCTGACAGATTAAGAAGTAACATATAATATTGTTTCAAATAAATAGTGTATAGAAAATGTTTTATAGACTTTCTACATGATAAAGTGCTTGTATTCTAGTGTATCAAGATGGAAAGTCAATATGGGAGAAAATGCTGACACAGCTCTCGCTCTGTGTCCCTGCCCCAACCTCTCCACCCCCTTCTATCTGGCCATCCAATTATTGGTGTATTGTCTGTATAGGAGCGCATGTTTGTAAGTGGGTGTGAGGCTTTACGCATGCACCCTGTGCGTACTAATGTGTGTCCAGTGCAGTCCCACCCGTGGTTGAAGGGAAAAGGCACTCAACTCTGTCTGCAAGGCAGCCACCTCCTCCTATGTGGCACGATGCAGTCTGACTGCACTGGTAGCACTAACGTGTATGTGTGTGTCTGTGTGATGCTGCTTGTGTCCCTATAGGGGTCTCAAACTCCTGGCGCGCTGGCCACTAACGGCTCATGAACTACCCACATGTGGCCCACGACTGGATGTCAGTTCGATGTAATCTGACCCCCTGCTGTTAAGTTTTGGCCCTGCAATGAGATGGCAGGGGCAACAGTTGCCCCCAGCTCATTTAGGTTTGAGACCCCTGCTATAGAAGGTTTGATCAAAGACAAAGGGGGGCTGAGGGGAGGGGGCTTTCTCTTTTATTTGGTATGCGTCCCCCTAGGCAGTTTGGGACCGGTAGGCTGCAGTATCTTTGGTATTAGTGGCGGTTTCACAAACCACTCAGCTTAGTGAGGTAGCCATATTGGTTCTCACTACAAACAAATGCCTTTTTGTCAGCCTAAAACCTAGTGCTGAGTCTAGCTAAGCACCTCTGCTCACCGATCTGTATACCACCGATCCATTTGAGCGCGTCTTCCTTTGGCCACTTTAACTCACTGCTTACAGCAACGTGAAGTTAGTCGGTACGTCCTGATCCGTTTTTCTACAATGACGATCTCTCATCTAATCTGCACTGCTAATCTGACTACATTGTGGAAAATGCTACAGTTGCATGTTAAGACCATACAGATTACACACGAGTCCTCCGAGCCGTGACCCCCACCCACCCTCCAATACAACACAAAGGAATCAGCTAGGACATTTGGAGGTCACCGTTTTTGTCCCACCTTACATCTTTAGACCCGTCCTCGGGGCTCGACTGTAAGGCGGCTGAGAGTACCACAGTTCTGACATGAAATGCCGAAAGAGAGAAAGCGTCCATCAGTTATTCTTCTCTTCAGCAGCTCCCTGTTTGTCTTGTTGTCCTCGTTCCTATGGTAAATGTCTCCTCCAAGTCCTGATTCACATAGAATGTCAAAAATACATCCTTCATTGGCCTCCGTCATTTTATTCCCCTCGTTTTTTTTTTTACTCCTTTTGAAAAGTCTTTCGTTTTGTTTTTGATTTATCAACAAGGTGCCTTACTTATGCACAACAGAGCACAATAGTAACAAGAAATAGAAACTTTGTGTCTATGGTACTAATTAAATACCCGCATCAATATAGAGGAAGAGAGAAAGAGAGAAGGGCAACTGGGGTATAGAGGGAAGAGGAGGTAGAGAACCAAAGATAGAATGAGAGAATTTGTTTTTTTCCTCTGCATCAGAATGTGTTTTGATCTGTGTTGTAGACATTTTCTTTCTGTGTGTTGTTTGTTTCAACTAGTTTGAGGTTTGGTTATTGTACGACTTAAAATCAGATCATTTTTCTTTTCCTTTTTAATAAAAAAGTATGTTTCATCTATGTTAAAAGCTGATTGTTTGTAGGTCAAAGCACACACCGCCCGCCACCAGAGTGTATGCACTGTGGATGTGTGTGTGTTTCAACCCTAGTACCGTATTCTCTGATTTGCATTAAGGCAGTAAGCATTGGCACAAATTATTTGGAGCATTTTGTCAGCTGTGTGTGTACCTGCTGGAAAGCAGAATATTTGGTGTGAACCGCTTTTTCTTAAGAGTTTCTGCAAATAGTCAGGATGGAAAACGAACCTATGATGAGGGAAAAGGTGAAACGCCATCGAGTCAAACCTCCAGCAACTCTGGTGTCGCCCGTCCTAGTGAGCCTACCGTTAGTTCCGTACAATCCTACACTTCTTCGTGTATTTTGTGTCTTCATAAATCTGTGAGACTTTTGATTGGTTAAATAAACCCCTGCTCTCTGCTAAATCCCTGTGTTTTCAGCCTTCAGTTAAACCATCCCCCTCCTCTGGCTTCTCCAGTGCTGGTTGGATGAGAAACAACAATAGGATAATGGTTGGATATTGATCTGCCTTCAAAGGGCTGTGAGGCCTGAATGTGTTGTGCCATGACTTCCCCTCGACATCTAGTGGCTCTTCCCTCCCTCTCCTCCACTCTGAAGCCCTATTGCTCTGCCGGACGGATGTGTCTACGCTCGACAGCAGGGGGCACTGTTGCTCTGTCAGCTGGACCAGGGGAGTGAGAGGTGTGCTGCTGCTGCTGCTGCTGCTGCTGCTGCTGCTGCTGCTATAATAGTGAGGCCTTTGTGTCCCCATCTCCACTGGGTTCTATGTGCTCCTCTTACATTCAGCTTTTTCATATGCAGCAACAATGTGGTTGGCTGGAAGCCCGAGCGTGTTGTTGTCGCTTGGCTCTCGGTTATTGATTAGAGGAAAAGATCCCAGCAGAACAAAAAAGCATGTCCAGACATCTTGCCTGCCTCTCCTGTCGGTCAGAGAAACACAAACTGTGGGCTCAGGCTAAGAGAAACAACGACATGTCTCCCACAGGCCTCCAACATCTGTGCAAAAATATAAACCTGGGCCTGGAAGACCTGAGTATCTGCCGAGCATCTTGAGTTTCACCTTCAGGAGGGGTCAAGGCCCCGCTCTCTCCGTCCGCATCGATTCATTTTTCAATTCATTAGTTTGCTGTATGATCAGACTGAGCTGCTCTCTGAAATGGCTGGCCTTTGGGGAATACCTTTGGCCGAGGAATGAAGGAGACTACAGCAGGTGGGGGAGGTAGAGGCAGAGAATCGGAAAACCTTGTTGTTTTTTTCTCACAGGCTGCACTTGTTTCTTCATAAGGGCATGGTGTGTGCAGGATGGGTTGTGGATAATAAGGCTGTGTGCTGTACTGTTGTCAGATTTATTGCCGTTCTTTCGCCCTTGGTACTTCCATGTGTGCCAGCGTTAGAGGGAACATGAGTGAGGGCAAAGAGGCAGACCCGGAGCAGGTGGGATGGCAGCAAAAAACCAGAATCAGTGGCTACTTGGGTGGTGGAGCAGAATCCAGGAACTGTACAACAAAAACAAAACCGTCAAATCTTTGGTGTCTTTTACACTCTGTCCGATGCCGTAAAAAGGATTTTGTTTTTACAAAAAAGACAGAATCAATGATTGTCCTTTTGTGAGTAATGAGGAGTGAACCTGACCTTACTGTTCACCTTTCAGATTATGCTCGTTTCAGGTGAAAGCTTCAAATTCTGACTGGAGGAAACAGATGATTGCATGGCACGAAGAATTTTAGGCAGAGGACCCGTTCAGGTGGTCGAGGCCAGGTCAAGTCATTACAGGCAGGTTCTACAAACAATTTCCTGCATTACCCTTTTTTTTCAACCTATGTTCCTGACCCTCTGACGGCCCCCTCCTCTACTCAGGCCTTGGAGAAGGTGGTGGCAGACGTGCCAGGCTGCCCGGGGCTGGCGCCATGGTCGTCGTGCCAGCGGTCCACACAGCGACGGCGTGCATTCATGAAGAAGTTGCTGACGGTGCTGAGCTCCAGGCCGAGCTGCTGAGAGATGGTGATCTGCATTTCCTTGGACGGACGCTTGTTCTCCTTGAAGATGGCGATGAGCGTGCGGCGCTGCAGGTCAGTGAAGACCAGACGTTGTTTTTTTGGAGCGGTGTTGCGGTCCTTGTGTTGCTCTTGTTCTTTACGCTTGCAGGCTTGTTGTGGATGGCAGTGGTGGGAGGGATGTGAAGAGGGAGAGAGTGGGAGGCAAAAAGAAGAGAGAAAAGACAAAGCCAGTTAAAATAAAAAAAACAGAACAAACGTGATTATTTTCACAAATAAACCACAAAGACGAACGCTGGACGAAGTAATTTGATCAAATGTGTCATTATCCGACACTAAAGCAAATAAAATATATAGTTTGTACATGGGCAGAGGTTCGACTGCACTGTCTGAATTGCCATATTAAAGTTGATTTAAAGCTGATCCATGTCTGCTGCCCAGTGGGAATATTCCTTCCATCCTGCAGAGTGCAGACAGG